GGGGGGCGGGTTTTCTTTAAATTTGTATTTTGGAAGGGGGCCTCTTCTGTTTTTTTAAAATAAAAACATATTTTTTACAGTACTTGGCCAAATTATATAAGGCAACTCCATGGTTTTAAAAAAAAAAATCCCCTCAAAAACACCACAGATGTTTTTTTCTTAATTTGATTTGGGTTTTCGGGTTGGGCCCAGGCCCTAAAAAAAAAAAAAAAAATTTTAAAAATTGGTCTTTAAAAAAAAAAAAAAAAAAAAAAAAAAAGGAAAAAAAAAAAAGGGTTGGGCCTTTTTTTGGCATTTTTTAAGGAAAAAAAAAAAAAAAAAAAAAAAAAAAATGAAAATAATATTTTGGAAACCAAAACATTAAAACAAGCCTTTTTTTTTATTTTTTTTTTTTTTTATTCATTTTACTAATTTTTTTGACATTTTTTAAATTATAATCAGGTGATTATTGAACAATAAAAAATATTATTTGAATGAAAAGAGTAGATTGAATTTTTTGATTACTTGTTTATTATTTGAAAAAACAAATTGATAAAATATTTGTAATAAATTAATTAGTTATTTGGGGCATTAAAGAATATTTTATTTTATTTTATAAAAAAAGAATATTTATTATTAAAATTAATTAAAATAAAATTTTTTCAACATGAGCGACTCTCTTTGAAGTTTTCTTTATAAAACCAAACATTTGTAAAGTGTCTACTGCTTGTTGGAATCTCGCCCTAAAGAGGTTTTTTTTAAAAAAAAAATTTAGATATAAAAATTAATATAATTATTTTTATTCAAATTATAAAAACAAAAAAAGACTTACTTTAATTCTTTAGTGGGGATGGTTTTAGTAGGGTTCTTCTTTGTGCAAAATGCAGTTAACCAATCTTGTAAATTTATAAATCTTTGCTGAGTACTAAATATTTCATATCTAGGTTTATATTTTGAAAAAAAAAAAAAAATTAGTTATTTTATTATAATTTAAAAAATTAATATATTACTTACACAATTGTAATATCTTCAAAATGGCTAGGATCATTCTTACATTGAACACAACCTAGGTATCCGTGTGATTCTTTAAGTTGACTTATTAGTTGATCAGTTATATTGAAATCAAATGCTTTTGATGTTTCATTAATATATTGATCAAGATTAAATGGCTCGTGGAGTGGGAGAGAGATGTCTTTAAAGTAATATCTGTTATAAAAAAGAAAAGAAAAATAGGTAAGTAAAGCTGTAAAAAGTTTTTAAATAGTTAATAAATACTCTTTAATTTCTTCAATCAAATTTAAAAATTTATTTAATGACTCGCTAAGTAAAGTTTTGTTTAATGTTTCTCTTACTTGGTCGTTTATGGGTGCGGTTATATCATCTGATTTTGATAGTTTACTAAGCTCTGTAATTAAATCAGAAACCTTTTTTTTTTTTTCCTCAGTAACTGCATATGCTTTTTCTTTGTAAGATGTATTGTGTTCTAAATAGATGATTTCGTGTTTTTTGATTTTTTCGAATGTTTTATCACAGATTCTCAATGATGAAATGATTGAGGAAATTGTTGTTATTTCCTTTGGTAAATTGAAAATACTATCGCGCAGTTTTTTAAAGTAGATGTCACTTTCTTGAGAGATATAAAGAACAAGTTTTGGATATTCTACAGTAGAATTTTTGGAATTGCTATGTTTCGTAAGATCAGATAAAATTGTATGATACATTTCCAAAATATAGGGTCTTGAGGCTTTGAATACTAATAGATTGGCATAAAATTCTTTAGTTTGGGGGTTTTCTCCGTATTTTTGTATTGAGTTTAAGTTTTTAATTGCAGTTCTTATGGCTTTATCTTCCATTTTTGAGGACTTGGTTGGTTGATCGATTTTTATTCCTATATTCTTTTCATCGCTTTCACTCTCCTCGGTATCAGATTCATCGCTTTCGGATGAACTTTTGCTTCTGTTTTTGCTGCCAAAATCTAAATCAGGACTTTTCAATTCTTTTTGATTATACGTATCATCAATAGCTTCACCTCTTATAACTGCTTTTTGTCGAATTAATTCTTCGTCTGATGTTTCTGAATAATCTTTATCATTAACTTTTTTTTCTTTTATTTTATTGTTATTTTCTGAACTATTATTTACATTGTTAACATTTTCACTACTGTTATTATTATTATTATTACTATTACTATTACTATTGTTATTATTATTATTATTATTATTGTTCATATTCATATTCATATTATTATTGTTATTATTATTATTATTATTATTATTATTATTATTATCGTTATTATATGGAGTTTTAACTTTAGCCATTAAATCATCATTATTTCTTTTGGCATTTTTATTATGTTGAGATTTAATTTCAGTTGGTGCTTCTAAATCGCCAAGTTCATTTAAATCTAGATATGTCAAATTGTCACATAAAAAGCTTAAATTTGAACTTAAATAATGATCACTGATTGCTCTCTATGTTAGAGAAAAAATTATTAGTAAGTTGTAGTCTATGGTAATATGATTAGAAATATTAGATTTAATATTTAATAACTTACTCTTAATTCCTTTAAAGTTTGAGATACTGACATGTGTTTATTTTTAAAATTATTATATAGAATTGAGTATGTTTTTGGCCCAATAATAAATAGTTGCTCTTTTAAAAATAAAATTTTAATCAAATTTTCAAAAATTTGATTTTGAGATCTAAGATGGAATGAGTTTAGTTCTAAAAGTTGAACGGTTTGATATGGTAATACTCTTAAGATTGCATCCGAATTGGTTGATACTAAAAACGACAGAATAAATGGAATTTTATGACGATATGATGATAGGAGTGAAATTAAATCCGATAAAATGTCGGTATTCCAAGACTCGAAAAATTCAATTGTTATGATAACTGGGGTTTTTGCTAATGTGATATTATATAATTCTTTGACGTTTTCTTTCCATGTATGAACATGTTTGTTTTTAAAATTATTTACAGTTTCGTTTAAGAGTGGAATTGTGAAATTGTCATGGTACCATCTCGATAAATCTTCAAAGTGTAGGTTTGGATATTTTGAGGTATTATAATTTGAGGTTAGCTTTTGACAAATGTTGGTAATTGTTGATCTAAAGGTTTTGCAATGGTCTGGATTCAAAGTTACTCTGGGTGGAATAAACATATCCATTTTTTGAAAGTTGCCATATTCGGTTGGTTGTCTAAGTGATAGTCTTAGCATTACATTGTCTGGTATTGAGTTAAACAACTGTTCGACTTCAGGGCTTGATGATGAAGCATATAAAATAGCGGCTGGTAATTGATGAATGCTATCTTGAATGGTTTGGCCACCTCTTTCCATAACAATATTTTTTATATCAGAATATTTTTTTTTTGGGTATGTATTTGTAAAGAAATCGCTAATATTATCTAAGGTTCTGACACTGACTACTTTGAACATATGTTCGATTGATGAATCCAGATCTGATATGCATTTTAAAGATGTTTTGAATGCCTTTTCCCTATAGTGGAAACCTGTTTTACCCGTTCTCTTTGCCATTTCATCATCGGATGAAAAATCAAAACTATCATCCGAATTAATATCACCGTCTTTATATTCATCTTTGATTTTCTCATTAAGATAATACTTTTTGACATATCCTTCATTATCTTTTGTAATTTTGAACCATTGTTTTGCTGATTTCGGGTCAATACTGTCCCTACAAATTTCACCAAAATTCTTTGCATCTTTAACATAGTTTTTATTTACTCTAATTTTAATTTTCTAATTATGTGTATATAAAAAGTTAGATATTATTATTCTAATAGCAGATTTAAATAGTATACTTACATTTAACATTTTAGAACCATGTTTTGAAATGGAGGCTTGATATTCGTTTTCACTTTCGCTTTCACTGTTGTTTTGATTATCATCATAGTCATTGTCATCGTCATCGTCATCGTTATTGTAATCGGTGTCAGTATCTTTTTTTCTCTTTTGACCCAGTTTTGTGTTGTCACTTTCATCCTTAAAATTATGTTGCTGTTTAATGGAATCAATTACACCTGTTGTTCTTTTTTCTCTTGCTCCTAAAAATAAAGCTGGGTTCTTTAATAATTCTTTTAATTTACGACTTTCTGACATCTTTTAAATTGATTATAAAATAAAAAAATTAGTATATTCTACATTAAATATTGAATTAAATTTATAATCTAATACTTACATTTTCATTTTTAACTAAACATTTTCTACAATAATTTGGGGATCTTGAAAGTTGACTACCACAAAGATTTTTATGATAAGCTTCCCCGCATTTATGACAATCTAATAATTCTTCTTCATTTCCTTTTCCTAAACATACAGAACATTTTTTATTACTACCCATTTATTTTTCATATTGATTACAACTAAAAATGAAAAATAAAAATAAAAATATAAAAAAAAAAAATTTGGGAAAATAAAATTTTTTTAAAAAAAAAAGGAGGTAAATTTATTGGAAATTATATGACTATTTTATTTAAAATTAAAATAAAATTTGAATATTGCCTTTTTTTAATATATTTACAAAAATATAAAGTTATAATATATAAATAAAAAGTTATCCCAGATCTAAAAATGAAAATTAAATTTAGAATTAAAACATCCATAAAAATAAAATATTTATTAAAAAAATAAAAAATAAAAAAAAAAAAAAAAAAAATTTTTAAAAATTTTTTTTTAATTTTTATATAATTTTTTTTTTATTATTTTTTTTTTTTTAAAAATCCACATACACGAAAAAACATCACACATAGATATGAAATAATATTATAGTATTATTTAATAAATTCATTGTATATATAAATAATAATAATATAAAAAACAATAATTAAACAATAAAACAATAATAAAACAATAATAAAACAATAATAAAGCATAAAACAATATAGTATATTAATAATCTTTATAACTTTTTTCAAATAAACATCATTTTTTATGTATAGTTCAAGCAGTCTTTTTTATATTTTATATTTTTTTTTTTTAAATAAATTTTAATAAATTAAAAATAATATAAAAAAATATTTATGTGGGTGTGTCTATGTGTGTAAATGTATGTGTTAAAATAATAACAATTATAATTTTATAGTTATTTATATAATAAATATAAATAAATATAATTCTAATAAAAATTTATTTATTAATATCTGCAAAATTTAATAGTTAAAAATTTATTTATTTTAGTTTTTTTTAATAATATATATAGTTTTTTTTATTTTCATTTTATTTTTGTTTTTTTTTAATCTTCCATTTGTATTCATAATAATAAAAATAAAAAAAATTATAGATTTGTAGTAAAATAATATTTAATATATATAAAAAATAATGGATAAATATAATTTTAGTAATACGAATTTAGCCAATTCAAATAGTCTTCAAAATAGTATAAATAGTAATAATGTAAATGGAGTTTCCTCAAATAGTATGAATAGTAATAATAATAATAATAATAATAATAACAATAGTAACAACAATAATGGGAACAACAATAACAATAACAGCAGCAACAATAATGATGGCAATAAAAATAACGAAAGACATCAAAATAAAAAGAAAGAAAAATTTAACAATAAATCTAAAGCATTCTTTACAGAAGAAAGACATAGAGATAATGCAACACCGGATTTACAAAAGACCAAAATTGCTAAATGGAGAATGAGAGAAAGGGTAAATAGATTTATAAATATTTTTCACAATTATTATAAGTTATTAAAATAATACTAATCTTTTTTTTTATAGATGAAAACAGTTTCAGTTGCATTGGTATTATGTTTAAATATTGGCGTAGATCCACCAGATGTTATTAAAACATATCCATGTGCAAGAATGGAATGTTGGATAGATCCTGCATCACAACCACCACAAAAATCATTAGATTTAATTGGTAAAACATTACAAGCCCAGTACGAAAAATGGCAATCAAAAGCAAGATACAAACAATGTTTAGATCCAACAGTAGAGGAAGTTAAAAAACTTTGTCTTTCATTAAGAAGAAATGCAAAAGAAGAAAGAGTATTGTTTCACTATAATGGTCACGGTGTACCAAAGCCAACTACCAACGGTGAAATCTGGGTATTTAATAGAAATTTTACACAGTATATCCCATTGTCTATTTATGAACTTCAAACATGGATGGGTACCCCAAGTATTTATGTATTTGATTGTTCAGCTGCAGGTTTAATTATAAATTGGTTCAATCAATTTGCAGAACAGCGTGATAAAGAATTGGAGCGTTTTAATAATAATAGTCAACAACCACAATCCCAATCACAACAGCAGGGTGGTTCAAATACACCTCAAAATGTAAACTCTAATAATAATTCAAGTAATAATAGTAATACAAATAGCCCAAATATGAGCAGCAACAGTGCAAATAATGCTCAATCAGCTCAATCTCATCAGCGTGATTGTATTCTTTTAGCAGCATGTAGCGCAAATGAAATTTTACCAATGAATCCAGATTTTCCAGCCGATATGTTTACAGCATGCTTAACTACTCCTATTCGAATCGCATTAAGATGGTTTTGCAGCCACTCAATTCTTACTGGTATTACTCCAGATATGTTAGACCGTATTCCAGGCAATCTTAGTAGTAGACGTACACCCTTGGGTGAGTTAAATTGGATTTTTACTGCAGTTACCGATACCATTGCATGGAATGTGCTCCCAAGACATTTGTTCCAAAAACTTTTCCGTCAAGATCTTTTGGTAGCTTCTCTCTTTAGAAATTATTTGCTTGCTGAGCGTATTATGAGATCTGCAAATTGTACACCTATCTCATGTCCAAGATTACCTCCAACATATCAACATCCAATGTGGCAAGCTTGGGATTTAGCAGCAGATCTTGTAATTTCTCAATTGCCAACACTTTTAGCAGATCCAAATGCTGAATTTAAATCAAGTCCATTCTTTAGTGAACAATTAACTGCTTTTGAAGTTTGGTTAGAATTTGGATCAGAACAAAAAGAACCACCTGCTCAATTACCAATTGTATTACAGGTTTTACTTAGCCAAGCTCATCGTTTAAGAGCTTTGGTACTCTTAGGTAAATTCCTTGACCTTGGTCCATGGGCTGTAAATTTGGCTTTGTGTGTTGGAATCTTCCCATATGTATTAAAATTACTTCAATCACCAGCTGGCGATCTTCGTCACATCCTCGTTTTCATTTGGGCTAAAATATTGGCACTCGATAAATCATGTCAATTAGATTTGGTTAAAGAAAATGGTCATGCTTATTTTATTAGTGTATTAAGTTCACCATCAATCCCAGCCGATCAAAGAACAATGTCTGCATTTGTACTTTCAACCATTTGCAATAATTGTAGACCTGGTCAAAATGCATGTCTTATTGGAAATCTTTTACCAATTTGTTTATCACAACTTAGTGACCCAGATCCTATGGTTCGTCGTTGGATGATTCTTTGTATGGCCAAAATGTGGGAAAATTTCGAAGAGGCCAAATGGGCAGCAATTAAAGAATGTGCACATGAGAAGCTTTGTCTTCTTTTAACTGATGTTTGCCCAGAGGTTAGAGCAAGTGCTGTTGTTGCATTGGGTGAGTTAATAGGTGGAGCAGAAGGAAGCGAACAAAGAACTAATATCGAGTTAAATCTTGCACTTACTCTTGCTGTTATTACTGCTGATTGTTCCCCAATGGTTAGGAAAGAGTTGGTAATTGCTCTCTCTAGAATCGTTTCATCATATGAAGGTAATTTTATTTCAGTAGCACAAGAAATTGCACATGAAGAAAGACAAAGAGCTATTTTTGAAGCCAAACGTTTAGAAGAATTAAGAAAATCAAAGAAAAGACCAATATCAAAAGGTCCAGATACCGATCTTTCAAATAGTGATCTCTATAGTAATGGTCCACAATCAAGTGTTTATGGTTGCATTTGGAAGATTATATTAAATCTTTGTACAGACCCATTTGATCAAGTTGCTAATCGTGCCCAATCGATCGTAAAGAGAATTTCATCTAAATTTGCATTAGAAGAACTCGTTTCACATAATTTAATCAATCGTACAAATTTCAATGGAAACGTAAATCAATATTATCTTAATAATAGCAGTGGTGGTATTGGTGGCGTTGGGTTAAATAATAGTAATGGTGGCAACTTTAATGTAAACTCTTTAAATAATAGTAATGGTGGTGGCGGTGGTGGTTTAAATAGCAGCACCAGCTCAATTAGAAATACAATTGTAAATATTTCTCGTATTACAAATAGAGACCCAAGATCACCAGCTAAAACAAAACTCGGTGCTCAAAGATCACCAATTTTAACTTCATCAAACAGCCAAGTCAACAATAGTGGTAATATGGTTAATAATTTAAATAATAGTAATAGTAGTAATGGTTTTTATAGTAATAATTCAAATTTAAATTCATCAGCTAATATTGGCGGTGTTGGTAATTTATCAAATACTTTTTCATCAATCTCATTAAGTGGTTCATTGGGTGGTAATAGTAGATCAAGAATGTCCTCATCCACTCCAGGTAATCAATCTTTACCAAATGACTTTTTAATATCCGATATGATGCCATTTGAAGAAGATGAACTTTATTCAGATTACTATGAATGGAGCTGTAATTATTTCTCTAAACCAATGATGCAATCAATTGGTGAAGACTCCGAATCATTTGAATCTGTAGAGAAGAAATGGAAGCGTATAAGAAACGAAGGTATTATTCAAGAATCTAAAGAATCAGTACAAACCATTATTAATAATCCACCCAAAACTTTTTCACAAATGTCAATTTTTGCAGAAAACAATGGTCAACCAATTTCCCACCTTCAATTCCATCCATTCGAAAATGTTTTAATTGTATCAGATGGTCTTGAAAATATTAGTATTTGGAACTATGATGAAGGTCAACGTATAAACGCTTTTAACAATTGTAATATGCCAGGTACCAAAATTACTACAATGAGATTAGTAAACGATTACGAATCATCAATGATTATAACAGCAGCCGACGATGGTGTAGTTAGACTTTGGAGGGGTTATGAAAGTAATGAAACACTCAAAATGGTTTCAAGTTGGAGAGCATTCCCAGAATTTGCAACCACTGGTAATGAACCAATTGGCCGTCTGGTTTTGGATTGGAAAGGTGACAGTGGTTTGGTAATGGTATCAGGTGAAACACCTGATTGTCCTAAAATTAGAATTTGGGATATCGAAAGAGAATTGGGTATTCAAGATATATTAATTGGCACAGAAAGTGTTGTAACTTGTATGACCAATGAAAAAAGAGGTCCATTATTTGCTGCAGGTTTCTCTGATGGTTTGGTTAAATTATTCGATCAAAGAGTTCAAAGTAAATATAGCTGTGTCTCTACTTTAACCGAACATAAATCATATATTGTCAATATTTCAATGCCAGGAAGTCTTGGTGGTAAAACTGTTGTATCTAGTAGTAGTACAGGGGAAATTAAATTCTGGCAACATACTTATGAATGTTCATCAAATACTATACTCAATAATGATGTCATTTCTTCATTTACAGTCCACGATAATGCTCCATTAATTGCCACTGGTTCTCAAAATCAAAGAATTAAAATTATGAATTTTACTGGTGAAGAAGTTTGTACAATTAGATATCATGATGGTTTCTTAGGTCAAAGAATTGGTCCAGTATCTTGTTTAGCATTCCATCCATATAATATTTTAATGGGTGCTGGTGCAACCGATTCAATTGTTAGTATTTATAATGGTGATTCAAATAAAAATAAAACTGTAGATTGGTAAAATAATATTTATATAAATAATAATTAATTAATAATTAATAATAATTTTAAAAACAAAAATTCATTTTAAAAAAAAAATAAATAAAGAAATAATAACAAAAAAATTAAAATAAATAATTTAAAAAAAAAAAAATAGTTTTAATAAAGGTTTATAAATATTTATTTAAATTCCTTTTTCTAATAATGTTAATACTGTTTTTTGTTTTAATTTTGTGTATGGTGGGAGTTTTAATATATTAATAAAATCGAGAATTGATGTAGATGGCGTATACATTACAGACTTTTTATGAGTGAAAGCCCTAAAAGTTTTTTTACCATGATATGAACCTATACCTGAATCGCCAAAACCTCCAAATAATAAATTGGGGTGAACATAAAATGTGCATGTATCGTTTATTAATACATTACCAGATGGAATTTTATTCATTATTAATTTTTGGGTTTTTTTTGAATTTGAAAATAAATAAAGTACCAAGGGAGATGGACGACCCACTAAATATTCGAAAACCTCATCTAAACTATCATACGTAATAATAGAAATTACAGGCCCAAATATTTCATCATTCATTAAAGGAGAGTCATATTCGGGTTCAACAATTACAGTTGGTGAGATATATTTATTTTCAATATCACATTCCCCACCAATCACTACTTTTCCATATTGAAATAGAGATTGTAATCTTTTTGTATGGTGAACTGATACTATTCTACCATAATCTTTATTTGATTTTATATCATCCCCATAAAAATTATGTAAAGCTATTTTAATTTCTGTTATTAACTCTTCAAGTTTTTCCTTTGGAACGAAAATATAATCAGTAGAGATACATATTTGACCTGCATTAAAACATTTTGAATAAATTATTCTTTTAGTAATGACAGATAGATCCATATTTCTGTCAATAATAGTTGGGTTTTTACCACCTAGTTCCAGAGTAACAGGTGTTAAATGCTTGGCTGCTGCTTCATAAACTATTCTTCCTACTGCTACACTGCCTGTAAAAAAAATATTATCCCATTTATACTTAATTATTTCTGTAATAAAATCAGCACCACCTTCAAAATCACATTTGTAACATTCATTATCTAAATACTTTTTTAATAAAGAGCACAATAAACTACTTGTATTAAAACAATGTCTAGATGTTTTTAAAAATGCACAATTACCACCTGTAATTGCACCTATTAGTGGAACTAATGCAAGGTTTATTGGGTAGTTCCTTTTTTTAAAAAAATTAATTAATATTTTTTTATTTTTTTAAAAATCTATAAAAAAACTAATTACCATGGGGCAATAATCAATACTACACCATATGGGTCATAAACATATTCACCACTACATGGGAATAAAAATAATGGAGTTCTAATTTTCTTATTTTTTGTCCATGATTTAATATTATTTAATGATGATTTCAATTCCCTCATTACATGGGCATAATCCACCATTGATGCCTCTTGTTCATGTTTACCTAGATCTAATTTAACAGCATTTACTAAATTTTCTTTATTTTCTATTAATAGTTTTTCTAATGCTTTTAATTGTGATATCCTGAATTTTATATCTCTACTCTTGTGGGTGTTATAAATTTTTCTTAAACTATTATTTATAAATTTTAAATTATATTTATCTTCTATTTCCAATTCTCCGTTTAAATTTATTAAATAGTTTTTATTTTCCATATTATATAAATTTCTATAAATAATTTGTTAAAGGTATAAAAAAAAAATATTAAAAAGAAAAAAAAAAGAAAAAAAAAAATGGTTTAGATCTAATTAAAAAAAAAAATTAATATTTTATATTATTAATACTTGAACCCAATAATACCCCTATTGTATTATCTAATATCTATAAAAAATTATTTGAAATATTAATAAAAATAAATATAAACATAAACACATAAACACATAAAAACAACAAAAAAAAAAAAACCTGACTTAATTAGGTTTAGTTTCCATATTTAAAATTTATTAAAAAATAATAATTTATATTAAACATAGAGTAAAAAAATCTTTATTGTCCTTTATCTTTAAAGATTTATTTTTAAAATTATATGGATGGTGGTATAAAATTAACACACATTTATTTTTAATAAATTTAAATTTTTAAAATTACTTATTTGGCTAAAGATAAAAACATTTGACTTGGAAATTGTAATATTTTCTATGGAATCTGGTAAAGATCTAATAACAGCATTGCTATTTGAGAAATTGATTGTTTTCAAATTGTTTGGTAAGCATTCTTTGGTTATTACCTGTTCAAAATGGGCACCAAGGGTAATAGATGTTACTGAATCTGGGATAGAGTCCTTAATAAATGGCTGGTTATAGTTGCAACCAAATGTAATGGAAAGTAACTGTGGTAAAGACCCAACCACTATTTGTTGGTCGAATGACGAACCAAAAACCAAATGTTTGATATTTTCGATGACTGATATATCACCAGGAGTAAATGGGTTATTAAATTGTGGAGGTAGTTGTAAATATGTACATGAGCTTGGTATTAGGCTTGGTTTTAAAAATGAATTTGATTCGATAGATCTTACTCTAAAATATTGAACACTTGATGGAATTATTGGACCATAGTATTTGTTAAATTCTGGTACCTCCAAGTCTAAAATGCCAGATGGAAGAGTAATTGATGATGTCTGTGGTAAAAATTTTTCTGAAATAACAAGTTTCCTGAGAGAGCTTGGTAGTGAATTACAATATGACTCTAAAGTAGGAATTTTGTTTACCCTTAAAGATATGAGATTGGTTGGGAACGTGCTACTTGACAAAGGACTGTGAATAATTTCTGATATTTCTAGATCTACCAAAGTATTTGGGTAGCAGTTTGGTGCCAATAATATTGCAGTATTCATTCTTAACTTCTTTAGATATGAAGGTAAAGTATTTGATTTTAAACCACCACTCCACTTTATGCAGTCCAATACTTCTAAATTATTTGGTAATGAGTTTTCGTGAATTTCGAGTAACATTGTTTGAATATTGATTCTTAATTGTTTTAAAGCTTTAAATTGTTTTAAACCATTATCCTGTGTAATTGACATTTTAATATTATCTATTTCCAAATACTCTAAAGTTTCTTTGGGTAAAATATTGAAATTATTTAATATCCCTATTTTTAAAGATTTCAAATACTTTGGTAAGGCATCTCCATTGAAAAAGGGGATCTCTAAACATTTTAAAAACTCTGGATAAATCTTGTTTAATTTGAAACTATCTTGTATAAGACTGTTATCACCTTGCCTCTTAAAATTTGCTAATACTTTTCTTGATAAACTGGAAACATTACTTGGGAACTCTTCAAACTCATCTGATACTTTTGCTATAAGTTCTATTTTAATATTACTATTGATTTGATTTATTTCTCTAACTATGCTGATGTTATTTGTAATTAAATGTATGATTCTAATATTCGATAAACTTGTATCTCCTAAATATTGAAGAGTATCATCTTGATTAATTTCTTTTAATGAAATATGAAATAAATAACTTTTATATTTAAATTGATTTAACTCTTTTATATTTGAAAATGAATAATATTTAAAATTATTAAATAATCTTAAAAAATAAAAAATTAAATTTTTTAAATATTTGTTTTTAAATATATAAAAAAAAATTTTGGAATTATCAATTTCTTTATTAATATTTATATTATTTATATTATTATCTTTATTGTTATTGCTAATATCTATATCATTATTATCTATATTTTTCAAAATATTCATTCCTTTTGTTCAATAAAAAATTAAAAAAAAATTTTTAAAAAAATTTTTTAATTTATTTAATTTTTTTGTAAATTTTTTTTTTTAATTTTATTTTAAAAAATCTTTACCAATAAATATTTATAGAATGAAAGTTTTTCTTTATATGTTTACATTTTTCAAATAATTTTAAAATCGATACATGTCTTTTCATAAAATTTATATATTTGTAAAACCATTTTTTAATATTAAAGAAGATCAGCTTTTCAAATTGTATTAAAAAAATAATTGGTTCTCATTTTGGAAATAAAAAATCATTTTAAAATAATATTAGACCCAGCCCGATAAATAAAAAAGATTTTTTAAATAAAAAATAAAATTTTTAAAAAAAAAAATTAAAAAATATAAATTTCAAAAATTTTTTTTTTTTTTTTTATACAACACAATCAATAATTTATATATACAACCAAAAAGTTATATTCAAAAAAAATAAAAAATGATAATATTTAAATATTTAATTTCATTATTATTATTATTTAGTTTAATTAGCAATGTCTTTTGTATCATCAAAGTAAATCCAAGTAATCAATTTTTTATTGATGAATATAACAGAGTAAGACTATTCCATGGGGTCAATGTAGTTTATAAAATACCACCATTCCATCCATCATTAGGCGAATTTGATCCAGTAACATCATTTAATCAAGAAGATATTAATAATTTAGAATCATGGGGTTTTAACGCTGTTAGATTAGGTGTTATGTGGCCAGGTGTAGAACCAGAGTATGATCAATTTAATCAAACCTATTTATCAATTATGAAGGAATTAGTCGAACAAATGGCAGAATCAAATATCTATACCCTTATAGATTTTCATCAAGACTTATTAAGTAGAAAGTTCTGTGGTGAAGGTATTCCAGATTGGGCTGTAAATTTTACAAATACCGACAACTTTCCACTTCCTGTAGCTAAAACCTATCCAAAAAATAGTCAAAGTTACCCAGATTTAAACCAATGTCTAAATGTAAGTTTAATAACAACAATATAATAATTATGATTAAATACTAAATTTATTATATAAAACAAAATAAAATAATAATCTAAATTTATTTATACAGAAAGATTTTGGTGTTTATTATTTTTCAAAAGATGTAGGAGAATTATTTCAAATGCTTTATGACAATACAAATGGACTACAAGATCAAATGATTGACTATTGGAGAGTTTTAGTAAAGACTTTTATGGATTTAGATACAGTCTTAGGCTATGAAATTATTAATGAACCTTGGGCAGGAGATATCTATGAAAACATAGAATACATCTTAAAACTAGGTTATGCAGACGAAAAGAATCTTTTACCATTATACCAAGCAGTTAATCAAGCCATTAGAGAAATTGATCAAGAACATTGTGTTTTTTATGAAAAAGCATTAACCGACCTTATCCATTCACGTTTCCCAGCCGGAACTCCAGGTGGTGTAGAATACAACGATAGACAAGTTTTAAGCTACCATATATATTGTGGTACCACCAGACAAGGTAATCCAAGACATACTTCAGTTTGTGATGGAGAAGAAGATCTATTCTTTGAAGGTGCCATGGATGATCTTAAAAGAACTGGTGGTGGTGGCTTTATGACCGAGTTTGGTGCAGTTTCAAATGAAACCAATTCAATTGACATGTTAAACTATTTAACAGGACACGCAGACAAATATTTACAAAGCTGGACCTATTGGCAACTAAAATACTATAACGATATTACCACAGCAGGCTCAACCGAATCACTTTATTTACCAAATGGCGAATTAGATATTCCAAAGATCACTGCACTTAGTAGAACCTATGCACAAGCTATTGCTGGTGTACCCCAAGCAATGAAATATGATACTACCGATGCCACATTCACACTAACCTATACTATAGATACAACCATTACCCAACCAACAATAGTTTATTTAAACGAACAGCTTCAATATCCAAATGGCTATACTGCTAAAATTACTCAAGGCACTGCCACTCTTGATCAATCCAAGACCAATTATATTTTAATTACACCATCATCAGCTACCCAAAATCAATCAACCATTACATTAACAGTAACTAAAAATTAAAAATTATTAAAAGTTATAATAAACCTGTATTTAAAATAGAGAAAATTTTGAAAGACTATAATTTATGTTTTTTTTTTTTTTATATTTTTTTTTATTTATAATTTTATTTATTTATTTATCTGGCTTTAACTTTTTTACCTTCTTCAAGGAAATAAATATCAGAAAGTGGAATATCTGGATATTTCTCTTCAATGAAATCGACTAATTCTTCTTTAAAGTCACCTTGAATAGTAATAGTATCTTTAATGACTGAACAACCACAACTAAACTTCTTTGCCATTAATTTTTGGGAATCGGCTAATTTAATACCATATAATTCTAAACCTGTAATATTTGTAATATGCTTTCTTTTATTTCTTTGGTTAACTTCAATAATAATAGTTTTTTTAACTTCTTTTTTCTTTTTACTTGAAGCTGCTTTGTCTTCTTTTTCTTTATCATTTTCTTCACCAGCACCAACATGACTAATTTCTTTTGAATCATCAACAATCTTTAAATCTTTTAATTTTTCTGTATTTGAATCTGACTCTTCTGTAGTAGTACTGGTAGTGGTGGTAGTTGAAGTTGATGAATCTGCTGGAGCTGCATCACCACTTGCTGGTGTATTTTTATTATTATTTTTATGTGGTCCATTTACTTTTAAACATTCTTTTGCTGATGGTCCATATTCACAATATTCTGTTGGTAATGAACAAACTATAAAACATTTGATTATTCAATATTAATATTTATTCGTTTTTATTATTATCAATATTATAAATTTTTATTTTGATTATTTTATTTCAACTATTACTATTATAAATTTTCTACACACCTTTACAATAATCAACAATAACTGCTGGACGACTAACCTTGGTTGGTGTATCTTCTGAATCACTCATTTTTTATATTTATATTTATGATTTATAAAAAAAAAATTAAGAAAATGAAATGAAAATTTAAAAAAAATTAAAAAAATTAAAAAAAAAATTTTTAAAAAAAAAAAATTATAAAAAACAAAAAAAAAAGGTAAGATAAATAAATATTTCTATAAATAACAAAAATATTCATATTCTTATATCAATTTATATAAATAAATAATGCTTCTACTTAGTCTCAACTTTATAAATCAAATTTTTATTTAGTTATAATATTTGATTAATTTCAGATTAATTTTTTTTTTTTTTAAATTTTTAAAAAATTAAATTATTTTTTTTTTTTTTTTTTTTGAACAAAGGCGGCTATTTTAATTGTATATATTATCCACTATTTTTAATTATACATACAACCAAACTTTTTTTTTTTTCTTTTCAAAATTTCTTTATAAATATATTTTTATTATATTTTAAAAATACATCATTAAAATAATTTATTTTTAATTAAATAAATTAAAAGAAAATGATTCTATTTCCACCCCTATCTAATGGCAAGCTATCATCAGTTTCAAAACTAGATGGCTCTCTATATGTTCATATACCAATAAAATCAAATAATAATAATCAAAATAATCAAAACAGCCAAAATCAAAATCAAAACCAAAATCATAATCATAACAATAATAATAATTTAAATGATAAAAGTTATTCGAAAATTCAAAATCAGCTATCTATAGAAGAAGATGAGCTATGGATAAAGAGTCAAGAAGAAAAGTCAAATCAAATATCAATGCATTTAATGTCATTTGATCCCAAAAAGAAATACATTGGAATTTATGATCCTAACGAATATATAGCGTCAAATAAAAATTCAAATAATTCGAAAGCAAATCTTAAAAGTTCGTCCGGAATTAATAACAATATTGCAAATAAAAAAAATGAAGTGTTTCAAAGAAAAAGACCGTTCAATAATAATCAAAGTGGAAATACCAGTGTTAATATGACCGATAACAATGACTTTTATATACAACCCTCACCAGTTCCAAATAATAACATTAACAATAACAATAATAGTAATAACCTAAATAATAGAATTCTACCAAATAATTCAAATAATCAAAGAAGTTTTCTTGGCGATGACGATGACGATGACGACGATGAGGGCAATGAGGATGACTTCGACGATTATAATTTAAATAATGGTGACTATGATGACTACGATGACTTTGACAATCACTTAATATCACCAAACCATAGCATAAGCCAGTATGATGAAGATATTAAAAGAAATTTATTCTCTAGTGGCAATATGGATATTATTAACGAAAGCAGTAGCATTGATGAAAAATCAATTCACTTTACAAAAGAAGAAAGAGAAGAGCAGTTTAGAATCCAACAGCATATTCTATTTGAAAAAGATCAACTAAATCAACAAAAACTTTATAATGATGGTGATTATGAGGAGAATGACAGCGGAATAGAATACCAGGATATGGATGAATCATCCTCTTTTATAAACAACTCTTGTAATATTAGTAATAATAGTAGTATTGAAAATAATCAACTTCAGTTTAATTTCAATAATAATAACAATAACATAGATAACAACCATGATAACCATAACGCAAACAACAACCTCAATAACTACGTCAACAACTCAAACAACACTGATATATCAGATGACAGCTTTGATAAATATTATAAACAAATTGAAGAAAGAAAAAAACAACTACAACCAACAAAACAAGAAAGAATATCCCTCAATAATAGTTCTCTTGGTTTAAGCAGCCATGGTAAAATTAATTTTGATGTTAGCGAAGAACTTTCAGATATCAATAGTAATAACCAATCAACAAGCCATCACTCATCAATTAACAACTCTGTTGAAATGGATGATAATGATATGGATACCTCATCAATGGACCAAAGTTTAAATAACAGTATTAATAAAAACAATAATAACAATAATAACAATAATAGCTTTAGATTATCACAAACCCCATTATCCTCAAGGAAATTCAATCAAATTTTTAAAACTCCAAACTCAATGATTTATAATGATAATAGTCTAAACAACAATAACAGCTATGATTTTGAATATTTAGAAAATCACCATCAACCAACAAAAAGACAACCAAACTCCATTCAAAGAAATAGATTAAACTTTGGCAGTAATGATGATAGTTTTGATCAGCAATATAATAAACTACATCAACAACAGCAGCAACAACTGGATGATAGTAATGTTGAATGTAATGATCAATCAATGGACATATCAGTTTCAATGGATTAATTTTAATAAAAAATTAAAATATTAAAATAAAAAATAAATACTACTTTTTTTTTTGCATTTTTATAAAAAAAACTTTCTAAAAAAAATTATCTTTTTTTTTTATATATTTTTTATTTTTTTTATTTATTTATATTTAACTATTATTACTTTTGTTATTTTTATATTGTTATTATCATTATTAAATAAATAATATATTATATATATATTTTTATTTTATTTTTGAAAAAAGTTAATTGTAATAGTCGTAACCTCTTTGATAATCAGCTTTGAATAAATCTAAGTAAATGGTAGCTAATTTTGGATCTTCCATTTTAATGTTAAAGTCTCTATTTGTTTTTCTCCATTCTGATGGGCTTTCATTGTATGATGGGAAAGTTTGGCTGCCATCTGGGAAATCAGTGTTACCCCAGTTACCAGTTGAAAGGTATACGACTTCGTCGTCGAGAATCCAGTACTTTTGATGTGAATAGGTGTACATGTTTTTAGCAGTCTTTCTAATGGTAATACCACTCTTGGAGAGATGTTTATAACATTCGGAGGCTGATTGCCAATCGGCATAGTCATAGATTTCATTTGATACAAGGATTGATAAGTCACCAGTATAGTTACCAATTAAATCACACCAGTCAGAGTTGGTGATTTGGTAAATGTAAACTTTTAATGAACTTGAAGCTTTGATATCGGCTGAAACTTGATCCCAAGCATTATCTGGTGAAGTGAAAACAGTAACTTTCATTTTATCACTAACGGTATTAACAGTGGTAACATATGAACCAGAGAATGATGGTGGTGATGGAATTTGAACAGAGATTTGTGTTTTATCGTTAATGATTTTCATATCACTTGAACTGTATGTAATAGTTGGCCAATCGATACCTAAATTCCAATCGTATTCGAAAACGGTATTGGTGAAGTCAGTTAATTGGGTATTACCGGTAACAATGACACCAGCCTCTCTGTTCTTCATGAATGAAGTTTGACTGTAGTTAATTGATGAAATAGATGATGAAGTGCCATCAACATTGCAATATTTACTGTGAAGGAATGTAAGGGTGGTGAAATATCTAACTTTGGCACCTGCTAATGCTAAAAAGCTAATTGGATCGATTTGGCCACTGGTACATGTTGAGTTTGGTGTATAATAATTATTTGTTAAAATTCTGACTTCAACACCTCTGTGAATTGCATTTAATAAAGCTTGGAAAATTGGGAAGGTCTATAGATAATTATAAAAAAATAAAAAAAATTAGTTTATTTTAATAAATGATATTTTATAAATTAGTTTTATAATTACTTCTTGGCTTCTTTGTTTGCTGACTGAGCAACCATAAACACCATTGTAAGAATCACTACAACCGACCCATGAATCCATACCTGGAATACCGATATCAATTGTTTGTTTAGCATTAATAATCATATTGGTTTCGGTTTGAATACTGGTATCTGGACTGAAGTATGTAGTTATAGAAGCTTTACCACTAATTGAAACTGGTTGGAATGGTGAGTTATAAGTTTGATTTTGCTATAAATTTATATAAATAATTAATATATTTATTATTATTATTTCTTTGGGCATTTTATTATTATTATTATTATTATTATTATTATTATTATTATTATTATTATTATTATTATTATTATTATTATTATTATATTATTGTTTTAAAATTATCTTTAAAAATAGTGCAGTTTTTTTATTTTCGAAAAATAAAAATAAAAATAAAAAATAAAAATTGCTCTATGTTTCGGTAATCTTATCTTGTTGGTGTGAATTATTTTTTTATTTTATTTTTTATTTTATTTTATTTTTTATTTCTAAAATATATTCTTTTCCTTTCTTTTCTTTTCTTTATTTTTTATCTATTCCCATTTCTTTATTCCACAGTATATAATGTAACTTACGAAATCACCTGAAGCATCTTGACTTCTTGCAACAGCAATAGCAAAAGCTAATAATAAAATTGATAAAAATCTCATTTTATTTATATATTACTATTTATTACAAAAATAATATTGTAATATACAAATTAATTTGTTATAATGTTATAAATATATAAAAAAAAATAAAGTATTGGCGATAAAAAAAGGGATTTTTTTAAAATTTTTTTTTTTTTTTTTTTATTTGAAATTTTATTTTATTTTTTTTAAATTTTTTTTTTTTTTTTCAATTTTGGGCTCAATGATATTTTTTTTTTTACCCGATAGGGATTGTAATAAAAAAAAAAAAAAAAAAAAAAAAAAGTAAAGAAAAAAAATTTTGTACAAGTATGTCAATATTTTCCGTTATTTATGGTTCACCATAAGATTTAAAATAATGGATTTAACACACTTTTTTAAAAAAAAAAAAAAAATCTTTTCCGACCAGGATAAAAAAATAAAAAAAAATAAAAAAAAATAAAAAAAAAAAAAGATAGGGATTCAATTATAAAGAAAAAAGATATTTAAAAAAATCATTAAATTATCTCTACATTGATAAATATATACAACTAAAATATAAATCTTTTATTTAATTTAAATTACAAAATAAAATTAACAATCATTTCTTTTTTTTTTATAATTTATTTTTTTCTAAAATTATTTGATTCGGGCGAACTGTTATCAGATTCGTTTGTACTTTGATCCGTTGAGGTATTTGTTTGTTGATTTATTTGAGTTTCGCAAGAGTCAATAAATTCTACTAAATTTTCACAGAGCAAAATTGATTCTATTAAAGAGTTGATATGATTATATTTTGAAATACGAAGTGTTGTAGCTTTTAAGAGATCAATTTCTTTTTCGGAACCTTTTAAGCTGATGTTCTCTGTAAATTTGTTGAACCAAGAATATATGAGTTTTAAAGTTTCTTTGATTAGGGTTGTACTTTGTTTTTGTTGTTCATTCTCTTCAAAGAGATTTAAATCCAATGCATTATTAAATATATCCGAAATTAACATTATACCTGCTTGGAATATTATATCTCTAAATAATGCTCCAATAAGTTTCTTGTAAATCATCACTGCTTTGGCCAGTAGTTTGACAATCTTTAACTTTAAGGATATTAGTTTTAAACATTGTTGACTATTTGATATTGGTAAACCTAAACATATAGCTGCCTTAACAAAGAACCCATTAACATCTTCTCCACCACCTGCTATCAATAAGGTTACAAGATCGGATTGCCCTAAAAATCTTTCAATAAATTCGATAAACAGGGTTTTTTGTTCGATTGTTGTGCTATTTGAAAACATCTGTACAATAATTGGTTGCTGTAATACACTATCAAATTTTTGTAATACTAAAATTGGATTATCAATTGAGAATATATTAGATTTTAGTTGATGCTGTTTTTGTTGATAAATTGGTTGTGGTGGTTGGGTTGATAAAATATTATCAATAACCAATATGAACAATGTCAATATATTATCTATAATTTTACTACTCTTATTATTACCAACTAAGTTTAAAATATTATTAAAATTTTCAATTAAATATTTTATAATTTGGGTATCTTCATGATGTGGTGAGTTTGATGATATATTTACATTATTTGATAGTGTTACAATTTCTATTTCCTTATTATCCTTTTCTTTTAATTTATTATTGTTATCATTATTATTATTATTATTATTGCTAATTATATTTGTTATGGGTGAAAGTGAAAATATTCTTGGATTTTGAACCAAGTTTGGAATTGGATACAAATTGGCAGTTTGGTTATTTGGTAGTGTTAGGTAGTGTGGTTTATTAGGTGTAGTTGATGGTAGGTTAGGGTTTTGATTAGGTTGTGTATTTATTGGTTGCTGTGAAATTAATGTTGATGTTATTTGTGATAAAGAGGATGACTGAAATTTTGTATTTGAAAGATCTGAAACGAAAAAATTTAAGCATTCATCACTGTTTATTAATAATGTTATTATTACATCTAATGCTTTTTCTATTGGTGGTACTGAGTTTAGTTTTAAAAATGGGAGCAACGATTTAAATAGACTGCAGCATGGTCTTTGTAACGATAATACATTTGAGATGTTTTGTGAAAGATCTTCACAAAATTGTGGTGGTAAAACTATTGATTGAAACATTGGTTCTAAATTAGATTTTGATCTTTGGGTTTGCGTTGCCCTTTGAGTATTATTAGATGGTGTGGGTACTAAGAATGGGGTTTTGTTATAAACTAAATCATTTGGATGGGATCTTTGATCGTTAATCATTTCAGGTTTTGGAAGTTTTTGTTGTGGGAGTGGCGGTGGTTGTTGGCTTTGTTTTTCTTGTGGTTGCTGTTGCTGTTGCTGTTGTTGAGGTTGCTGTTGAGGTTGAGGTTGAGGTTGAGGTTGGATTTGGGGTTGGGGCTTTGATTTTTGTTGTTTTGATGATGGGGTTTGTGAGGTTGCAGATGGTTTTATTTGTGGTGCAGAGATACCGCCACTATTTCCGCCTAAAAGTAATGGAGTTGGGTTTGGAAATAAACCATGATTACTTTGTATAAACGGTGAGTTAAAGTTTGAGGGGAGTAGATATATTATACTTGGAACAGAACCATTTTTAAAAGAAAATAACTGTAATATTTGTAATCTTTGCTCGTTCATCATTGCTTTTTTTTTAGTAATTGCATGTAATTCTTTATTGAATGTTGGTTTTGGTTTAAAAAATGGGTTTAGTATAGAGATATCATCCATGATTTCATCCAGTATAATCTTTTCTTTTTGAATATTGTTTTGGACATTTATTAATGACTCTGATTTTAATTTCTTGGCATTTTCAGATTGAATATCAATTTCGGCTTTTCTCTTTTCAAGCTTTTTCTCTTTCTCTCTTTCTGCTTCTTTTTCACGTTCTTTTTGTCTTTCTTTATCTCTTTCTAGTTCTCTGTGTCTTTCTCTTTCTCTTTCCAGTTCTCTTTCATGTTCTTTTTCTTTTTCCTTTTTTCGTTCCTGTTCTCTTTCTCTTTCGATTAAATTTTGTTTTTCTAATAGTTCTTTGTACTCCTTTTCTTTATTTACCAAACTTGCTTTTAATTGGTTTATTTGCAGTTCATATTTTTCAGCTAAATTATTATTGTTATTATTATTGTTAATATTGCTGTTATTACTATTGTTACTGTTATTATTATTACTACTATTTAAAATATTTAAATTGTTTTTATTATTATTACTTTGATTTTTAATATTTGATAAAGCTGGTTGTGGTGGGGGTTTAAAGGCTTCGAGAAAATCACTATCTGAGATAAAATTATCCATCATACAATCATTATCTTGGTCTGTAAATGGTACCACGTTTTGTTTTTGATACGTTGGTTGAGGTAATTGCTGATATGATTGGTTAAAAGATTGCTGTTTACTTGTTGGTGGGGTTTTATTAGTTTTGGGTGGTGGAAAGGTTGCTTTAATATTAGTCATTGGTTGTTGTGGCGCAGATGGGAATAAATTTTGTGATGTAATATGTGGTGATGTATTTTTTGATGGGGTTTGAATAAAAAAGTTTTGGTGAGAATCACCATCTAATTGATTTATGGGTGAGGAAAATTGATAGTTTTGCTGCGGAAGCTGTTGCGATATATCAGTAGGTTGTGGAAGCTGTAGTTGTTTAGGTTGTTGTAGTTGTTGTTGTTGTTGTATTGGTTGTATTGGTTGGGGTGATATTTTTGAAGGTAAACTGGGTTTTTGTAAAGGATTTTTATTTTGCCCAGGTTTTAAGATTGGATTGGTTATGGTTGGTATAGCTTTAGTTTTAAAAGAACTACCAATATTATTATTATATTGATTTATATTTGTATTTGTATTGTTGTTTCCAGTGTAGGCTCCTACTTTTTCTCTGCTGAGGTATTTGAGGTTGGGGTGGGATTTTTCCCTTATTTAATAAATTGGATTGTATGGGGTTATTAAAATTTTGTTGTGGTTGTCTATTATTGTTAAAACTATCAATTGATATCCTTTTTTAATTATTATAATAAGGATATAAAAGAGTTTATAATTTATGATATAGGTTGTTTATTATTAGAATTTAAATAAAATTTAAGAGGGTATTATAAAAAGAAAAGAGTTATATAAATTAATATGAAAATAATTAAAAAAAAAAAAAAATAAAAAAAAAAAAACACTTACTTATTTTGCATTTTAAATAGAATTCATTTTAGGTGCAGCTTTTTGGTGTATAATTTGTTTATTTGTAGATTGTGTTGAAGAATTTTAAATTTTCTTAGTAAAAAGAATCAATAAATGGAAAAAACAATTTTTTTTTAATTTTCATAAAAAATTTAAATTTTTTTTTTTTTTTTTTTTTAAATTATTTTAAAATAAAATAAATAAAAAATAATTAAATTAAAAATAATTAAATTCATTTTATTTTAATAATTAAAATATCCACAATGATAAAATAGTTATAACAATTCAAATAAATAAAACAAAGTAATCATGTCACTTAAATTATTTTTACATAATAAATTAACCTATGCAAATAATCAAATCCCTAATTCAAATATATCATTCAAAGAGTTATTTGTGGACAATATTAATATCAATAATATCAATAATATAGATAGTGATATAGATAATAATATAAATAATAGTATAGATAATAATGTTTTACTATCTTCTTTTGATGAATTATCATTAAATGAAGTAAATAACAATATTGAAATAAATCAAAATCAAATTAATAACAATAATGTCAAAAATATTATACTTTCAAGTTTTGTTTGCGATTGGAACTGGTTTTGGAACAATTTCAATTTACAGACTTTAAAAAAAAATAATGTCAATGTACAAATGGCTTTAAATTATAATTTAAAAACTGGGGACACAGAAACTTCATTATTAGAAAGTAATAATAACAATAATATTGACAACAATAATAATCTAAATAATAATGATAACGTGGCACAGGATTATAGATACACATTCGAAAAAGAATACATTAAAGATGAGACTAGTTCAATGTTGGTCACGATTAACAATGATAATGATAACAACAACAACAACAACAACAACAATAATAATAATAATAATAATAATAATAATAATAATAATAATAATAATAATAATAGTAACGATAGTCTATTTCAGTTTAATTTAATTTATCCCAAGTTAAAATCAGGTATAGTCCACTCCAAAATTATTTTAATAGAGTTTGAATCTTTTTTAAGAGTAGTTATATCCTCATCAAATCTTACCCAGTCTGATTGGGAATTATTGGGCCAAACAGTTTTTGTTGCAGATTTTAAAAGAATAAATAGCGATAGTAAAATAATTAAAGAGCTAAATAAAGATAGTTTTAAGGGAGAGTTATTGGATTTATTAGATGGCTTAGGGTTTTCTAACCCAAATAATAATATAAAGAATGATAACAATAATAACAACAACAACAATAATAATAATAATAACAATAATAATAATAATAACAATAATAATAATAATAACAATAATAATAATAATAATAATAATAATAATAATAATAATAATAATAGTAGAGGTATTAGAAGCTATTTAGATGATTTCGATTTTTCAATTTGTACAGATAATAATATTCATATAGTTTCAACAATACCTTCATTAAGCAATGATAATAGTAATCAACAAAATGGCTTTTTAAAATTAAAATCAGTTGTCCAAAATTATAATAGCAGCAATAACAACCCAGATGGAGTCTACAGTTTGACATACCAGAGCAGCGCAATTGGCAGTATTAGGAAAAATTGGTTTGAAAACTTTACGGATAACCTATTTCCAAATTTAGTAAGAACTGAAAAAAAAGTTAGTATTGTATTCCCAACACTAGATACAATTCAAACTCTTTCAAATAAAGATAAAAATTTAGCATTGGAGTCAATAACAATTAGATACCAAGATTTAACTGATTATCTCAAAAAGAAAAACCTGCTTTACGATTATTTTGAAGAAAGTGGTCATAATCAAGTCATACCATTACACTCAAAAATCATAATATTTTTAGAAGAAAACAAACCAAACAGTGGCTGGGTGTACCATGGTAGTCATAATTTTTCAGAAGGTTCTTGGGGTATGTTGTCTGGAAGTGGTATAAAAACTTTTAATTATGAAACTGGTGTTTGGTTCCCCACAGAAGTATTAAAGAAGTTTGAAAATCAATATGTACCGGTTCAAAGGTTTGACTACCCATGCAATGAAAGGACAAGATATGGATCAGATCAATTACCTTGGAAATTTAGAAATCATTCAAAATATTTTTATAATAAAGAGGAAGAACAAAATCAAGACCATACTCTATATTATCACTGGAGTTGTTTTAAAAAAGAAAACAACTTATAATAAACATTAATTACTATTATAAAAACCAAAAGATATAAAAATTTTTTTACTTTATATATGTAAAAAAAATCTTTTATAATTAATTTACAAATTTTTTATTTTAGTTTTGTCTACCGCTTAATTCCTGGGGTTGTAAATTATTTTGTTTTTGTTCCCAATAATTACTGAAAAAGTTATTTTGTTTTGGAGCAGTTGAATTAGAAAAGGTAACTGGATGTTTTCTTTTTTTCGGGTTTTGTTGATTGTATTGATCATTATAGTCATAGCCTACAGGCATACCTTGAGGATTTGTGTTTTTCATTTGTCTATCTCTTTCAGCTCTAAGTTCATCATCTTTCGCTTGTTTTTTACCCTTTGAAAATTGTTTCCATAAATCACCTGTATTTTGTGTTTGGTTTTGAGATTGTTGTTGTTGTAATAAATTTTGATACAAAAGACCTGCTTGGCTTTGAACCATTGGCTTGGTTGGTGTAGTTTTTGGTGTTGGTTGTTGCTGTTGAGGGTGTGATGGTGAATTTTGATTTTGGGGTTGTTGCTGTTGTTGTTGTTGTTGTTGATTTTGTTGTTGTTGATATGGTAAAATAACAGGTTGTAATGGTTGTTGAATGATTTGCATTTGTAAAACAATCTTTTCAATTACATTAAATATATCAGTATGATTTTGAGATATTTGACAGATTCTAAAGAAATTGTAAAGCTCTAACCATAGTTTACGATATAAATCCTTTCGAGCAGCTGCGGTTCCTTTTAGGTTTGGAAAGAGTATTGGATCATTGCTTTGAGTTAACGAATATAATGTATTGATGTTCTTTGTGAATTGATCTAAAAGTTCTGGTGAGAGTGTATCTTTTAATAATAACTTTTTAATTTGCATTAAAGACTTATTTAATTCTTCATGCTCTAAAGAGAACAATAGAGTCTCACCCTCGGTCCATGGGAAATATCTTGTGTATTTTTCAGCTATTTTTGATGCCACTATATTAATTTTAGGAATTAACGAAATTTCATCGATTATAGATTGACTATTTAATAAAGTTGTTGTTGATACAACAAGATCCGATAGACCAACATCAAAGAATGGATTTTGAAGTGCAATGTTTTGAAAGCTATTTGTTGATTGTTGCTCTGCCTCGCTGCCTGTTGGGCTACCATTGGTGCTGGTGCTAGACGATTTAAAATTATGATTTCTTGATAGTATCATCGAGTTATCAACCAATTCTTGAAATCCTCTAATTCTATAATGGACTGCTTCATTTGCATAATGCTCTAAAATTGGACCCAAGCCTTGTAGTTTGATTGGTCTATGTAAACAATGAAGATATACCTCACGCTCATGTAGCGTTAAAACATGAGTGTAAATATCTTCATTTGGAGGTGTTACAAGAAAAACTGATTTGCCAGAACAAAGGAATTTCATTAGACATGTACTTGGACTTGATGAAACGAGGAAAGGTGTTACTCTATGTGAACATGTTGTAGCCAAAACTTCTTGGTTTGTGTTCTTTTCATTTGTTTTCCATTTAACTATAATTTCATTCCTTGATCTAATTTCTAATGATGATATTTGACTATAGTATTTCTTATAAAACTCCTCTGAATCCCTGGGTATCTTTTGCATATTATCACCCCTACGAGGGAATATATGTTTATTGAATTTATTATTGGCAGAGCTACTGGTTGGATAAAGTAAAGCAACATCATATGACGATCTTGTGGACATTTCTTTCATTGGAATACCCTTTACCAAAACTGAAGAAAGATTGAATTGGAGGTATGCTAAATCCGAAATTGCATTAAACAATAAAGTGACATCAAATTCTTTTACAATACAATCCAAATGATCTGAATACTTTTTATATAAGAATCTTTGATTTTGCTGAATTTTATCTCTTTGTGGAGAGTTGGTAATTTTTAAAATAATTAATTCAAATTTCTTTTCATCCTCCTCTCCCTGTAAGGCCCTATTATATTTTGCAACTAGTTGATTAATTTCATGACCAATTTCAATGATTTTATTATTGGTTTTATATTTTAATAAATCTAATCCCTCTTGGCCGCCTTGTATAACTAGAATAATTATGTTTTTTTGTTTTTCAACTTTTTGCTCTTCCTGTAATGTTTTTAAATCTTTTTTAAATTTTGGTTGCTGTGTTGGTGGTGAGGTTTGTTGTGCTGGTGATTGAGGTGAATCTTGCTTTTGGGATGAACTATCTTTATAATGAGATAAAACCAAATCATCTAAATATTTAAAAAAATCAGAGTTTTGATAAGATGAATTATTTGAATCATTATTTCCTTCTAAAGTATCTTTAATATTAACTCTTGTAAAATTTTCAGCAATCTAAATAAATATTAATAAAAAAAAATTTATGAAATTAGAAATTAATTCATAAATTTAATAAATAGAGGTTTATATATAATATATATATGAAATACATACTAATTTTAAAGATTGTTGAGTTTGTTCTCTAGTATTAAATTGTGGTAAGCTTTGATATGTTGTGAATACTACAACGGATTTAGTTGAATAGAACAAGTCATAAACTATTCTACAATACTCTAAAACAGCTTCTACAATAAATGACTCTACAGATCGGCAAAGTGAATTTAATAAAGTTGTTAAAAATGCACTATTGTTTGTATTTAATGGAGGATTCTTTGGAGATATAGATGGACTATTGTTTTCTTTAACATCATCATACCAGCAAAACATTAAACAATCCACCAAAATTGAAATTTTATCGACATCTTTATATTTTTTAAAATTATAATAATTGGAGGCACTTTGAAAACTATTATTTAAATTACTATTGGTATTATTATTTATATTTGAATACATTATTTAAAGTATTGTTTAGTATTTATTTTACATATATAACTATATTGATTAAATATATTATATTTATTTTAAAAATGATTCATAAAAAAAATAAATAAATATTATTTTTAATTTCAAAAAAAAAAATAAAATAAAAAAAAATTTTAAATATAATTTTTTTTTTAATTTTTTAAATATTTAAAAAAAAAAAAAAAAAAAAAAAATTATTTATACGTTTTTTTTATTTTTGTTATTTGCATATATATAATGTACATTATAAAATAGAGAAATAATAGTTAAAATGGAAAATGAAAAAGAGTGGTTAGATATAGCACAAACATTTACCGAATTAACCCTACAGCATAGAAACGAAGAGGCCATTGTATTTATTGGTGATATTCTAAAGCAGATTCCACTTAGAGTTTATTTACTACCAAATATTATCACACTTTTACTTCAAAAAGATTCAGAACTATACAACAATGAATTAAAACCATTCTTTTTTTATATTGGTGTATTTTTATCAAAAACAACAACTTTAAAAGAAAGTGTTCATCAATTAATGTACTATTTATTTTCAAACGATTTATACGAAAGAAATTTTGCCGAATTATTAAAAAGATATGAAAAGTAAGTATTATATTTATTAAATAGCTATTATTTTCGTTTTCTATTTCGTTTTTGTTTACATTTACATTTTTATTTTTATTTTTAGATTTATAGTAGGAAAAGATGAAAGATCATTCCCATTATTAATGGTATTTGGTTCAGTTCTACACTATATAGATTGGGAACAACAATTAACACAATATAAAGAATCAGGATATAAAAACAGACAAACAGAAGAAAAATTGGATAGATTAGCAACAATGATTGAATATAAACTAAATTCCTCATTATCATTCTTTCCAAATTTAGAATTTATTATTAAACCACTATTGAAAACAATGATATATTTAAAAAGAACAGAGGAATGTTATTTATTGTTATTGGCTTTTATACATCAATATCCATTAAATCCATTTGGTTATACGTAAGTTTAGTATTATAATAAAATTTTAAAATTTTAAAATTACATTTATTAATCACAAATTTAATATATTAGGTTATTAGGCTCATTTTTAATTGAACACAAACCACACGACACCAAAAGAATAATATTTTGTTATAGAAATTTATTAAAGTTAGATCCAATTTCAAACCCAGCATTCACTGTTTTAACCCAGTACTATTATAATAATCGATGTGAAGAGTCAGTATTCTCAAAACCAACCGACACTACAATACCATTCAACGAAATTTTTAAATTGTATATAGATAGAATATCATATTTTTCAACAAATTTAGAAATTTGGAAACTATTTTATTATTTTTTAAAAGATCACTTTTCAAACTACCCCAATGTTTTGGAGCTATTAAATAAAAAAGAAAACAACAATAATAACAATGAAAATGACAACAACAACAATAGTAATGAAAATGAAGATACTCAAAATATTAAATTTCAATTTCAATTATTTTTAGAAAAGAATTTTAATGATTATCAAGATACCAACATTAGCCAAGCTTTGTTTAAATTTAAAACTGGCGTTTATTTCTTATTAACAAACTCGTTGGAATACACAAATCAAACCTTATCAAAAAAGAAAAACTTTCAACTTTCTTTAAATGTTTATGAGTTTTTAGAAAGCGAAATGAACAATTTAAAAAATAAATAAATAAATAAAGTGTACATAAAATAAAATTTTTTTATTTTTTAAAAAAACAAATAAAGTTTATAATTAGTTTTTTTGGTTGTTATTTACTAATATTTTCTTTTTTTTTTTTTCTTGTTTTTATTTCATAAAAAAAAAATAAAAAATAAAAAATATTAAAAATTAATATAAAAAATTTTTTTATTAAAATCAAATTAATGAACTGAACAAATGAAAAAAAACAAGGAAAAATCTTTGACAGACGGAGAAGAAACGGGTAAAGAAATTGCATTATTAAAATTAAAATTAAAAGAACTAAGAAGAGAATTAGAAACAGAATCGAACAACATAAAAATAAAATATCAAGAAATAGAAGAGATAGTCGACAAAAAAATAGAAGAAGCTAAAAAGGAGTATATTTTTGATTTAAAAAATATGGAAATTTCTTTTGAAAAACAACTCAGGGAAATGAAAGGATCAATAACACAGAAAATAGCTGATCCCACTAAAGGTTTTAAATTCCAGAAACTTTGTACTCAGGATGGTGCAGCAGATCTAATTGATTACTATGTTAAATTTTTATTATTTTCACATATTAGAAGCGATAGTAATGAAAACAATCAATTTTATGATTCTTCATGGAGTGACTTTAATTTCTTTTATCGTTCAGACCCATACACAGAACAAGTATCCAAAAATCAATTTAAACTTGATTTAGAAAGCCTTGTCAATCTTAAAAGGGAGAGAAATTCAAACAACCATACCATTTCAGTATTTGATGATATTAATGCAGAAAACCTCAAAGAAAGAATTAAATTTGTTAGAGAAAACAAAACCAACCTCGACCCTAAATATATCGAACCTGTAACTACTCTCTGTGACGTATGTGATAAAACACCATTCCCAAGAAAAAATAAAAAATAAAAAAAGTTTAACTAGTTTTTGTTGTTATTATTTACATTTTATTAACATTATTATTATTAAGCAAAAGGTTCTAATTTATTTCTAAAAAATAACATTTCTTTATAATAGTAAGCGGAAACTCTTCTTTCTGCAAAATATCTATTATTTAATTTGGTATATGCGGCTTTACATGAATCTGGAGTATCAAAATAAATGAATATTCTAACCTCCTCAGACGATGGAACACTTGCACTAAGAACTGGGTAAATTACTACACTATTAACTTTACCAAACTTTTTACATTCCTCCATCATTTCTTCTTCTAAACTTGGAACAACCTCTTTTTTGGTTGCAATATTCAATAAAAGTAAAATCTTTGTTGGAGTTTTTGAAAATTGCTCTGAATTGACTGATAAAGAAGATTGCTGTTGTTGTTGAGATGTTGATGACGATGATGATGATGATGAATGTTGCTGTTGTAATTCTTTTTGATATTGTAATCTTTGTTCCTCTTTGGTCTGTCTATCTCTTTCTAATTTTTCTCTTTCTTTTAAAACTTTTTCATAATCATTTGGGTGGAAAGGATCATATTCATTAATTATTTTATCTTCATCTTGATAATCACTTAATAATTCTGTCGCTGTATTAAATGCTGTACTAGATTGTTGTTGTAATATTAATTCCTGCTCATATCTTTGTTGATCAATATCACTATTATTATTATTGCTGCTACTACCACTCTTACTATTACTACTATTAATATTAGTTGAGGGTGTTATAGTTGATGTAGTTGAATGTGTTGGTGTATTTGATGGGGATACTGTTATATTTGATGATTTATTGGTTGTCGTTGTTGCTTTTTTTTGAGATTTATTTCTTAATGCCTGTGCTTGTAATAGCTTGGGTGGTATTCTAACACCGCTTGAAGGGGTCAGAGTAACACCATCACTTTTATTATTTACTTTGACGACTCCGCTATTATCGCCACCATTATTTTTACTATTACTATTACTATTTTTATTTTCTTGAGTATTTAATTTTGTTGATATATTATCATCTTTTTGTTCATCCTCGTGTATATCATCATATAGACCACCACCATAAAATGCTTTGCTCATTATTATTTATTTATTTAATTATTATTATTATTATTAATATTATTGTTTATAATTATTTTTCTTATTATATGATTATTTTAAATTGATTGATTGGTTGATTGGATATTTATGGAGCATGTATGTTCAATATTAAAAAAATCATATGGTCTGATTGTGATTCAATTTAAAAAATAATAAATTTTAAAAGAAAAAAATATAAAAAAATAAAAAAAAAAAATAAAAAAAATAATTTTTATTTTTTAAATATTTTTTTTTTTTTTAATATTTTTTTTTTTGAAAATTTCAACATATTGCATCATAGTCTTTTTTCTTTTATGTCGCTATCTGTTGTATATAATTATTTATTTATTTTTAGCAATAAAAAAGATTTTAACAATAATAATACCAACCATCTTTCAATGAAGGATTTGCCTCCACACCACTGTCTATACAATATTTTTTTATAATAAATTTTAAAAAAAAACCTTTCTTTTTTTTTTTCGCACAGTTTATTTATAATTTAAAATAATATCTTTTTTTTTTTTTTTTTTTTAAATATATATTTTAATATTTTCATATTTTTTTTTTTTTTCTTTTGTTTGTTTATATTTCACTCACAATAAAATGGTATATATAGTTAAAATAAAATAATATTCATATAAATCATAAATAATTTGCAAAATAATAATAGTTGTATAATAACAAAAAAATGAATGAAAAGATTTTTTTTAATAATTTTATATTAAAGAAATTATTTTCGAATTTCGATGTATTAAATTTAATACCGATGCAGTTTGTGTGTAAAAAATGGAATCAAATATCAAATTCAAATTCATTATGGCTGGACCATATTTGTAAACATTTATTGGCAGTGTATGACTTGGTGTGGTCTCCTATCGATGGTTTTTTGTATTCAACATGTGGAGAATATAGTAGTATGGCAGGAAATGGCAATGGCACCAATCTTGGAGCCAATGTTTATAAATTTAATTTAAAAAGATCACCATCAATACTCTCAATGGCAACTTCATCCATAAAATTAGAATATGACGCTGGAGATGAAGATTCAAAGTTTAATTTAGAAAACCTACCACCAAAATTTTATAAAAATATATTTATCAAGTTATTTTATCAATATTATTTCGCAATTATTATAGTGGATAAACACAGACAACTATTTTTAAAAAAACATCTACAACCAGCCTATGATACTATTATTGATATTTTAAATTCAATTAAAACTTCAACAAATAATAATAATAATAATAATAATATTAATTCTAATATTAATAATAAAATTTTACAAATTCAAAGAGTTATTAAAGAATTAGAAATAGTTTCATCTCCAATTTATTCCCAATTTAGTTTATATAAAACGAGCTTCAAACAAAGAGAGCTATACTTTAAATCAACACTACCAAAGAGTTCCAAAACAGTGGTTCAGTTTCTTTTGTTAAATAATATTAAAAATCAATTTAATGAAACCCAAGATTTCAATAACTACCATGTCTCAACAGAATTTTTCCTCTTTTGTCTATTTAATCAAGATCACCTAAAAAATAACAATACCAATAATGATAAAAACAATATTAATAATAATAAAATAAACTATAATAGTTACCCAGAATTTCAAAGTTTAAATATTTTTAATAGAAATAACAGCAATTATAAAAGCCAAAATGAAAATATAATAATATCATCATTAAAATCAGTTCAATTTAAAGTTGACATTTCAATAAACTTTAAATTTTGCAATCGTTCAGTAGTCCAAGTTTCATCCAGCTGCAAATTTAAATTTAATGACTATAGTAAAGTTGGTACCAATGAATGGAAAGAGCTATATAATTTTAAAGCATCGTTAGATGAAAATGGAAAGAATGGTGTTGTTATAGGAAGCTTAAATATATTTGAAGAAAATGAGGCGATTGATGATGATGATAACCCAAAACTGGACTATATTATATCACAGTATGAATCTCACGATGAATACTCGTCATTTCATTTCCCAGTAAATGCAAAGACTACAAAATCTATTTCAGAATATCTTCAAGTCAAGGGTTCAGAAATCATAAATACATTATCGGCAGTTTTAGATCATCGTAAATTTGAAATTCCAAAGCCAAAGAAAGATATACTTTTAAACTATCAACTAGCATCCAAACTATACAACAAAGAATTTTTTAATAGCTTTATTTTTACGAAATCAAACATTGGCTTTAATTTATTAAAACTAATATGCTATGGTGATGAAAATATAATATGCGAAGATAATAGGACCAATAGTGGCATCCATCAAATAAAGAAAATTTTAACCATTGATATTGGTTCAAAAAGCAAAAACAATATTGAGACCTTTTTCATTCATACGGATATTAGAAAACCAAACAATATTAGAAATAATAATAATAATAATAACATCAGTGAACTATATTTAACACTATCAGATTTTAGTTTAAAAAGACCACCAATTGTAATTTCAAATAACAAAAATGAAGGAAATACCCAATTAATTTTTCCAATAGATTTCATTCAGAATGATATCCTAAAATTTTTAAATCTGGACGAAATCATTGACGAAATTGTACCATTCGATGGGGACAGTTATAACAAAATAGAAAAAAATGACATTTTACTTTTGGTGTTAAAATTATTAATTAATGTTTGGAGATTGGATGATTTTATCAAAGTAGAATTTTTAAGAAATGACAATTCAAAATTTCAAATTTTATTCAATTATTCCAATATTAATAATAATGTAGAAATAAATATATCTAGTAATAATAATAATCTCAAAAGGTCACATCAAGATTATAATGATGATGATGATGGTTTTGAACTATCAAATATTTATGTAAAAGGAAATAAAAAAAAGAAATAGTTAAAAAAAACTAAAAGATTATTAAATTAGTTTATAAATTTAAATAATATTTTTATTTTTTTTATTTTTTTAGGTATATAATTAAAAAGATTGTTTTGTTTTGTTTTGTTTTGATTTAATTTTATTTTATTTTATTTTATTTTATTTGTTTTTTTTTTTGTTATTGTTTACATTTCATTAATGATATCAATACTAACATCATTATATTTTTCATAAATTTTTTCTTTACCATTTAAAACTTTAACACTACTGATTAATGAAGTTGAAATCTTGAAATCTTTAATACCATTACCAATTAAAACTTTTTTAACTAATTCTATGGATGCACAAAGTGTTCCACCTGTAGCCAAGATATCATCCATAATTAAAACGTGGAATTTCTTACCTGGTTTTGGAGTTATACCAGAAAGAATGTTTTCTTGTACTTCAAATTCGTCAGCACCATATTCCTTTTTGTATGATTCTCTATAGCATGGGCCTGGTAATTTACCTTTCTTTCTAATTAAAATGAATGGAAGCTTCATACTTTGAGCAAATGCAGTACCCAAAACAAAACCCCTAGCTTCTAAACAAACTATAAGATCGACATCGTTGAATCTATAACTATAGTAGTCGAGGACTTTATTGAATTTTTCGTGTGATAAAAATAACCCTGAGATATCTTGAAATCCAACACCTTTATTTGGCCAATCTGGGAAAAATTTCATTGATTTTCTAACAGCATCACATGCTTGATTTTGTAATTCTTGGTATGATTCTTGCATTTCTTTATCTATTTCACTCTGTGTTTTGGTCATTTTTGAATTGAATGTATAAAATTAATGAATAAAATTAATATTATTTATATAAAAAAAAAAAATTACAAAAAAATTAAAAAATTCAATTTTAAAAAAAAAACTAAAAAAAAAAAAAAAAAAAACTAAAAAACTAAAAAACAAAAAATAATAATAACTGATTGTTATATTATTTATTTCTTTTATGTAAATATAATAATAATAAAAATCTATAAAAAACAATATTTTCTTTTGTTTTTGGTTTTTTTTTTTAAAAACCAAAATATTATTATTTCTGGAAATATTGTTATTTTATTTTTTTAAAATAATAAAAATTATTTTACAAAGTATTATCTCTTACATTTATAATAATTATATATAGAATAAGCTATGAAAAAAAAAAAAGCCTGTTTTTGCAGAGCTTATAAAAAAATGTTTAGAATTTTTATTGAAAAAAAAAAATAAAAATAAAAAAAAAAAAAATTTAAAATAACACACATACACCAGTTATTAATTTTTATAAAAAAAAAAAAAGTAAATTTTTTAAAGGATGGTAACTATCTATAGATATTTGTCAAAAAGGTGTGCATGGGAAGAGTCTATGAGAGAATCGGAGTTAAGTGACATTTTTTTTTTTACAAAAAAAAAAAAAAAAGTTTTTTTTTTATTTTTTTTTATTTTTTTTTAAAAATAATTTCTTTTTTTTTTAATAATATAACACCATAGTTTTCTTTATAAAAATAAACATTTTTTTTAATCATTGTTTTACCAGATCTTTTATTTTTATTTTAAAAAGGAAATGAAAACAAAAAAAATATGTATAATTGGGGGTGAATCCACTTTCAAAACAACCCTTTCTAAAAATTTATCTAAATATTTTGATTGTTTGTGGTCTGAAGAATTTGCAAGGATTTATTTTAAAGATCGAGATTTTGACAGATATCCATTTTGTACGTTTAAACAAAAATAAAAAAATAAAAAAATATAAAAAATATAAAAAATAAAAAAATAAACAAGAAAAAATAATTTTAAAAACTATAAATTACCCACCTAAACAAGAAATACCTCTTTAATAAATTATTTTATGTTAATTTTATTTAATTAATATATTTTTTTTAATTAAAACAATAGTAAAAACAGTAATAATATTAACAATAAAAATATAAGATTTGCTTACGAATAATTTTTTTTTTTAAAAATTTTGTTTTTCAAAATCTCTTTTTTTGATACTCTTATTATTAGGTGATGAAGATTTTATTAACGTATGCAAGGGTCAAATAGAGATAGAAAACAATTGTCTTGAAAAAAAACCAAAATATCTAATATGTGATACCTGCCCTTTAATAACCTTAATTGTATTTTAATTTTTTTAATTTCTGTTTTTTTTTAATAATAATTATTAATTTTTTTTTTTATACAATTTCGAATTAATTTCGATGGTTACAGTGGAGTGACACATTAATTGGAAAATATTCAACGAAAATTCTAGAGTATGTCAATAAGTCAAATTATGATCTATATTTATTATTAGACTACAACACAAAATGGGTACAGTAAGTAAAAATAACTAAAAAATTAATAAAAAAAGTATTAAGTATTAAAAAAGTTTTTTTTTTTTTATTTTTTTTTATTTTAAAATTAAAGTGATGAACTTAGACTAATACCAGAAGAAAAAGAAAGAGAATTATTTCAATTGAAATTAATTGAAAAATGTAATGAGTTGTCAATTCACTATCATCACCTATTTGGAAGTTATGAAGAAAGAGAAAGGATGGCCATAGAAATTATTGAAAAAACATTTGTAAACTAAAATAAATTACTAAAAATAAATAATTAAATAAAAAAATAAAAAAAATAAAGTGAAAAAGACTAAAAACTATTTTTTAAACTAGTTTTTTACATGTTTTTTGGGTTTTTATATTTTACATTTTTTTTTGAAGATTTTCATTTTATGGAAATTGTTTTCAATTTTTTTATATAATTATTTTTTTTTGCTTTATAAAAAAAAAAAAAAATTATGCTATTGTTATTATTGTTATTGTTATTATTATTATAATTATTATTGTTATTATTATATCATATATTTAAATAAATTATTGGGTTGGTTGTTTGATTTTTAAAAATTTTTTAAAACTTTTTTTTTTTTTTGGTTATATAAAACTAATTCTAATTGATTGAGTAGTTTACAATGTATCTTCAATTGGTTTGAGTTGAAGATTTAAAAGTGGTGTCGAGTCTATATTATTTTCAAAATTAGCCATTACATCCATTTGATATTGGAATGACATATTTCCCTTAGAGTTATTAAGCTATAATAAATAAATAAATTTATTAGTATTAATTCATTATTATACTATTTAAAAACTTTGTTTAATATTATTGGCATACCTTTTCTCTTTCTCTTGCTTCTCTAGCAGCAGTTCTTTCAGCTTCAATTACCTTTCTAGCTTCTTCAGCATCTCTTTCTTCTTTTTCTTTTGCTAATTTTCTTTGTTCTTCATATTCAATTCTTCTCTTTTCCTCTTCTTTTCTGAGCTCCTCTTCTTTTTCCTCCCTTTCTTTTCTTAATATTTCTTCTTGAACAATTCTTTCTTTTTCTTTTTGTTTTAAGGTAATATTTCTATTTTTATAGTGATTCCATGTTGAGTCACTAACAGTGGCTGCTGTTGCATTGGTATTAGGAGATGCGGGCGAATTTATAGATGGGGAGTTTGGGAGACCTGGTGATGGTGGTGATAATGTGCTCGATGGAGGAGTCGATGATGATGAGGAAAATGAAACGTGGGTTGATGATGAAATTGGTGAAGATGAGTGTGGTTGATTACTATTACCAATATTATTAGTACTGCTTGTTAATGATGGTGTATTTGTTTCTTTATTATCAAAACTCCATGAGGCAACATTTGAGGCAACTGGAATAGCTGGTTTTTTTACAGTTTGAAGAATAGTTGGTGGCTTAATGATATCAATATTTAGGGTGGTTGATGGTTGTGATGGTGATGGTTGGGTAGTTGTATTTGTTGTATTAGTTGTTGTGGTTGTGGTAGTGGTTGTTGTTGTTGTGGATAATGAACCATTATTATTGTTATTATTATTAAAATTATTATTTTTATGTTTACGATCATCTTCACTATCACTAAAATCAGATTCAGAATAAGAACTACTGGAATCGGATGAACCACTATCACTGTCACTGCTGTCGCTGTCACTATCACTTGAAGCATCAGTTTCAGGGTCTTTTTCAGATATTGAGTTTGGATAATCCTTTCTGAGAGCCTCTTCGATATCATCAATAACAACATCCTCCTCTCTCTTTAGAGCATTAAGATTATTTGAACTACCAGATAATGTTGGAGTTGATAAAACAACTTTTCTACCTCTAGCTTTTGAAATTGGTTTTGAAACTTGTCTTTTACTGTGATGTGATGAACTACCACCTCTTGAATTCTTTTTCAAACGCTCAAGTTGTTTCTCGAGATTCTCAATCTCTCTTTGTTGATCGTGATTACTACCATGGCTATGGCTGCTGCTGTGACTATGACTTGATGAAGGAGCAGATGATGGCAAAGCGGATGGAGGTGGGAGTTCACCACTCTTGAATTGTTCTACAAATCTATTTAATCTTCTGAGAGTATCATCATCGAAATTATTTAAATCAATTTCAACCTCTTCGTTTGGATCATGATCTGGAAGTGAATTGGTATTATGTATAATTTGAAGAATCTTTGGTAAATATTCAACAGGTAATTGTGTAATCTCTGAACCCAATTTAGTTTTTTCCTCCATTGTAATTTCTGGGAGTTTCTTTCTATTGCTGCTGCTTCTGGATGATGAAGAACGACTTGATGATGTGGATGATCGTCTTTTTGATGATGAATGACTTGATGATGGAGAAGATGATGAAGGTTTTCTTCTTGAATCTTTATTTACATTTGAAACATTAACTTTATCTTGTGTTTCGTCAGATTCATCAGGCTCTTCAATAACTTGAGGGAATTTTTCTTCAAAGAGGTCTTCGAGAGTTTTAGCCATTATATGTACAAGATTTGCTGGTGGATTATAGGCTTTGGCATTACTAAATACTAATCGAACATCTTCAGCAAATTCATCAATAGTGTGATAAACACCACCAACTATTGAATTTTTGATTGTGCCAAAATCCATTGGACGTTTGATGAAGTTAAAGTAATCCAAAATACCCAAAGCATATGGGTCAACAGGAACGAGGAATGGTCCAGCTTGTGGGTGTTCCATAAGTTCATCTAAAAGATCAGAGCATCTCTTGAATACTGGTGATAATACAACATCCATTAAAATTCTTCTTCTGCCCTTTGAGGATCTTTGAGCTCTTTCACTTGTGCCACCAATTGGAATCCTTGGGAAAATTGGTGTAGTTGGTTGTATTGATTGCCTTGGTTTCTTTTGTGGTTTAGTTTTTGGTTCAGCAGTTGTGGTTTCACTTGATGATTCTATATTGTTTTCGATGCTATTATTATTATTACTATTATTATTTGATGGTGTTGAAGATGAACCTGCTGACTTTCTTTTTTTTGAAGACGAAGATTTATTAGCTGCTACTATAGTAATAGTTTCTTTTGATGTCTCGGATGGCTGTTCTTCTTCTTCTTTTGTTTCTTGAGTATCCTCCATTTCAATATCATCTTCATCATCGCTGTATAAACTTGAGTATTTTCTTTCTGTTGATGGTGGTGCCAAAGTGGTACTACTAGCTGTGGTTATGGTGGTTGTAGTTGATGTAGTTTTAGATTTACTCTTATTTGTATTTGTAGTGTTTATATTTGTAGTAGTATTTGTACTTGTATTTGTATCATTATTAACTGTATTATTTGTGCTATTATTTAAATTTATATTATTTGAGCTACTAATTAATCTTAATTGATCCTGTAACATTGAAATTGATTGTTGTAACTCTTGGATTGTTGCTGATTCGGTTGATGGTGAAGTAATAGTAACCTCTGGTGCCTCTGTTGTTGATGTCGATTTTCTTTTATGAGCTGCTGATTTTTTATTTGTGGTTGGTGTAGGTTGAGGAATAACAACTGGTGAAGGTGGAGTTGGTTTCTTTGAAACTATAGTAATAACTTTTGGTGATTTTGCAGCATCTTTTTTTGATATTGGAACTGTATTTATTTTTATTATATTAGTTGGTATTTTTTCGGTTAATTGTTCTTCTTTTGTATTTTGTGCTGCTGATTTTCTTGTTGATGATGCAAATATTAAATTTTCATTATAAACATTTATTCTTACTCTTTTTGGTGGCTCGTCAACCTTTGGTTCCTCTTTCTTTGGCTCTTCTATAATTGGTACATAAACCCATTTTTTACTTTTACTTGATAATTCTTTTGCTTGTTCTGGTGTTAACATAAATTCCTCTGAATCTTTTTTACTATCTATATTATTACTATTAACATTGCCATTATTTATATTATTTATATTATTACTGTTACTACTATTTGAAATATTATTATTTAAGTTCTATTGTAAAAAAATAAATAATTATAAATTAGTATTAATTTTTTTAACTATTTGATAAATAAACATAAATATACATACTCTGGTGCCTCTAGTTTTTCTTATTGATGTATTTGTTGAATCTAAATTTATGTCCATATCACTAAAATAATAAAAAAAAATAAATAAATATTTGATCCTAAAAAAATTAAATTCAGAAAAAATAAAAAATAAAAAAATAAAAGTAATAAAAAAAAAAGCGCGAATAATTTTAAACTTGTAAGTTTTGAGTTGATTTATCTATTTATTTCTTTATTTATTTTATTTTATTTTTTTAAAAAAAGGAACTTGATAATATTTGCTAATTTTTTTATTACTTGTAAAGAAAAAGAAAAAAAAAAAAAAAAGGATTATAAAAAAAATAAAAATAAATGATAAATTATACATACCCTTGGAGAACAGAAAGTGAGCTACGTTTTCTTCTAGGTGCTGATTTATTATCCTTTTTGTTATTTTTATTTATTTTGGACTCTTCCTCAACCTCCTCTATATTATTATTATTATTATTATCATTATTATTATTATCATCATTATTTATACTATTATCTATATTATTATCTTTATTACTATTACTATTATTATTGTTTTCATTATTTTCATTATTTTCATTATTTTTATTATCGTTTATTATTGTGTCATCATCGCTATTTTTATTATTAATTATGGAAATTTTGGTGGTTGATTCCTCACTTGTTTCGAAGGTTTTTGATTGTTTATTTATCTCGAAGGTTGTTGTTGTATAAAAAGTTTCGTTATCAGAGTCTGTATTAGTACTGTTTTTATCTATATCGGTGAATGTGACATCAGTTGATTCGCTACTATTATTGCTATTATTATCATTATTACTATTGTTTATTACTCTTTCTAATTGCTCTACTTTTTCAACAATATTTTTACTGTTACCACTTCCTGTATTACTATTATTTATATCATTATTATCTAAAGCTGTTGTTGCTGCATTTACATTATCGGTTGTTGTTCGTATTGTATCTTCTGTATTTGTCGTTGTGGTTGTTTCAAAACTAGTTTTTTCTTCGACCACTGTATCTTGCTCTAACATTTTATTATATATTATTTTTATAAAATTTTATATATTATTATTATAATATAAAATAGTGCTTTTTAAAATTTTGCTACTATTATAAAACTGTTATAATATTTTTTTCTCTATTAATATTATTGTTATTAAAAATTTATTTGTAATATTAATTTTATTATTTTATTGTATATTTATTTATATATTATTTATATATTTATTTGAAAAATGAAAAAAAAATTAAAAAAATAATTTTTTTTTTTTTAAATTTATAGATTTAAGATTCTTTTGGCTGTTAAATAATAATTAAAAAAATAAAATTATTTAATTTAAAATAATTAATTTTATTTTTATTTTTTAAAATAAAATTTGAATTAATAAAATATTTTATTTTATTTAAATTTATAAAAAAAAAAAATAAAAAAAAAATAAAAAAAAAATAAAAAAAAAAAAATAGATATACAAATAAATTTATAAAAAACAAATAAATACAAAACTATAGTAATACACAACGAAATAAAAATTATTTATGTAAAGGAGTTGATTAATGCAATGTGAATGTGGTTTTTTAATTAAAAAAAAAAAGCATATTATTCACAATACACACCCTCTCTCTTTTTGCATTTTCTTTTTTTTTCAATTATTGGATTAAAAAAATTTTATATGGGATAAGATTTTTATGGGTAACCCCAATAACCCCCCGGGCCCAAAAATAATGTGAAAAAATCCCCCCCCCTTTCACCCAAAAAACGTTAATAATAACAGTAAAAAAAAAAAATTTTTTTTTAAAAAAAAAAAAAAAAATAAATAAATAATTTTGAAAAAAATAAATAGAAAAATAAAAAAAAAAAATTTAAATAAAAAATTGAAAAAAATTAAAAAAAAAAAAAAAAAAAAAAATTTTAAAAAAACATTATTCAAAAAAAACTAAAAAAATCAAAATTTTTTTCTTTTTATTTTATTTTTTATTATTATTATTATTTTAATTTTTTAATTTTTTTTTTTTTATTTTTTTTTTTTTTTTTACCGCTCTCGGGTGCCTAACCGCTAAATGTTTTTTCTCGCATAGAAGCAAGCATCATACAATTTAAATATACCAACTCTGCATTAAAAAATTATGTATGTTGGAAAAAAAATTTTAAAAAAATTTAAAAAAAAATAAAAATTAGTAACACATAATAATTTTTTGTATACTATTATGGATAACCACTACAACCACCACACTATATAAATTTAAAATAATGAAATTTTTTTTTTTTTTTTGAGAAATAATTTGTATATATATTATCTCTACAACCACAACACTAAAAATACTAAATATAATATTATTTGTTATATTATTTTATTATTATTATTTTTAAAATTTAACAAGCCAAATATAAAACATTGTCATTATTATAATTATTACTATTTTCCCCAAAATAATTTTAAAAAATTTTTTTATTAAATTTAATTTTATATACCATATAAATGGGAAAAAAAGTAATAATAATAATAGTTAAAACATTTATATCTAACTGGTTGAATTTATTATTGGTGAGTGTGTGTATGTGTGTATATCTGAGTATTTTGTTATTCTAGGTTGGGTTAATGTGACAAATATTTGTATATAAATAATTTTTTTTTTTTTTTATGAGTCAATGTGGTGTTATTATTATTATTATTATTATTATTATTATTATTATTATTATTATTATTATTATTATTATTATTATTATTCATATTATTATTATTATTATTATTATTTATTTATTATAATCAAGCCTAATTATAGTTGGCCTGTTATCTTAACATGTCTGTGATGCCCTTATTTCCTTGGGCCGCACGCGCTGTTCTCTGTTTATTGCAAAAACGTTCCTGGTCTGGTTTTTTGGATAATAAAGTGAATTTGCTGCGACACTGGTACTGATCTTTGTAATTATTGATCATCAACTAGGAATTCCTTTATAGCAGAAGTCTTTACTTGTATGCTGAAAGTGTCCCTGCCCTTTGTACACACCGCCCGTCGCTCCTACCGATCGAATGATACGGAAAAGTTAACGGATAGGTTTTTTGTGGCACACTATGAAAATTAGAGTTATTTAAATCTCATTGTTTAGAGGGAAGGAGATGTCGTAACAAGGTATCCGTAGGTGAACCTGCGGATGGATCATTTTTATCTATTAAGATTATTAATCATTGATA